AAAACTTGTCAAAAGAAATTGTTGGATCAAGAACTTCGACTGAAACACCGTCAGAAGAGACAACTTACTGAAAAGTTTAACGTCGACACAACCATTCTTCGGAACGCCGTTAGTAAATTAGATTATACCCATCTACTTGACAAATTGAGCCAACACAATGACAGAAAAATAGCCTATTTCTTCCTTGTCGTTTCTACATGCTTGTTTTCCCTTGTTCAGTGTTATAACTTGCTGTAGGCCTAAAAATTTACAAATGACGCTAACTGCACACACTAACGTGAAATTAAACTTACTGGCATTTCTCCACTGAAAACAAAACTGAACCCCGTATGTATAACCTTCCCACAGATTTACTAGAAAACTTGACGTAAAAGTTCTTACGCTTTCTATGCTTAGACTGACGTCATTTTCTGACTAGCAGCTCTCTCTAGCTAACAAACAAATTATCGCATTAAAAATACAGCTTACAGTAATAGTTTAGAAAAATAAAATATGTTTAAAAACCCATAGGATATGGAATCCATCGGTAATTATAGTGTTAGTGATTGTGAAATAATTCCTGTAAATTTATTCCATTGAATGAAAACAACTTTTATATTCGGTGATGAAATTAACTTATCATCACTGCAATTTTGTAGTTTCTTTCAAGAGAATCGTAAATCAAACAGTTATTGTACATGCCAATAAAATTTACACCATAAAGCTTATTTCTGTTTAGTTTTTAAATTATGGACCCAATTGTTGGAATGGTTAATTAAAATTGTCAAATAAAAACACGAATAAAATAAAACAAAATACTACAGTTACTACTACTTGTATAGGATCTTTTTCTCAACTAGAGGTGCCTCTGTGGCAAGGATCAGACTAAAAATCCATAACTTATATGATTTTGGTGAAACTTATAGAGAATGTAGCGTAGGATGAGATATGACGATTAAAATTTACAAAAAAATAATTAAATTTAAAAATCGAAAAAAGTTGCATCATCAGCAGAAACCTTATAGTTGGTGACAGTACTCCTTCTTGTGTATTCTACGAGCCCTAAGTGAGTCTTCTTCTTTGCCGTCATTGCATCTATTTTTTAGGCCATAGCCAAATCTACCTTCAGAAGGTAGCTCCAAACTTCTCTGATAACGATAGGAACCTTGCTACACTTTGGCATGCCATCATAAACCACAATTGTTCCCTAGATTGCCTGCATGTTCAAGGTTTCAAGATGTTCGACTTGCAACCTGTGCAGCCGCTGTGGATGCGATCACGATGAACTTTTTGTCATTCCTTGTTGAGGTAAGTCAGTCCATTTATCAAACCCAAAGATGCTGTGGCAGCTCTCATAAATAGGTTTGCTGTTGACAAGAGTAGTAGTAATAGTTGTAATCACCTTTCTCCAGATCAGAAGATGAAGAACAAGATCTCCAACCTCAAAGAGACAATGAAGATAGGTCGCATAATTTGATTTGGGAATCAAAAAAGAAATTATCAATTCATGTATGTGATCGTTGCTAGTATGGTATTCCGACAACTTCGAAGCACTGCGTCTCTTTGACTGCTCATAACTTTCGACTGAAATACGCATCATATGGATTATATATATTTGGATACAGCAATTTCGAACTTTCCAACAATGTATGCGACATCTCCAAGAAACAATTACTGGACTTTTTTTGTTCCTTACCCTGCCACCTCCCCCATCAAAACAAACATCCGTGGTAGCCAGAGTACAGGTAACTCATTGTGT